TAGTGCTGGAGAAAAAGTTGTATTATGATGGAAACAAGAAACCACTTTTGTTACAGGTGACAATTGTTAGACTCCATCAATCTTAAGTACCAGATGTCAGGGCTGTAATTCTTAGCCTCTGTAAGTGACTAGCTGTTCATTCCCTTACAGTTTTTGTGGTTTGTTTTTTTGTTGGTTTTTTTTTTTTTTTTTTAACTGATCCATGGATTTCCCGCTGTTGTATGTTCCCTACATGTTTTCTTATTGTTGGGGTGGTTTGGAGTATATTCTTCCTGAAATAATGCAAGCAATGATTTAGTTWAATTTAATATTTAAGAAGATTCAAGTGATAACACTCTTAACAAGTATTTATAGAATCTGCCCTGGGCCTAAATCACTCTGCTCTTCAGATTACTGCAGTGAGAGTTAAAAACTCTGTTTCCCTAGGCTGGGAAGACTAGTTTTTGTAGGATTATATTCTCATTAAGACAAAATCAAGACATTAACAGCTTATTAAAAGATACTATCTTTTCTGTCAAAATTCTATGCTCATTTTTGAGCTAGAATTGGCATAAGGTTGGACAGGGGTTGGTAGTAAATGAACCAAAGTCAGTTTGCTGAAAGAAAGTGAGTTTGACAAATGGTTGAAAATTGAGACAGTTTGAGCATCAGTTTAGCAAAGAGGCTTAGCATACTGCAAGCCTTCAAAGCATTCCCATGACAGTTATCAAGTGTCCTCCCTGGCTTTGTCAAGAGCACACCGTGTCCTTTCCTCTCCCACTCTCAGATCATGCCCTGGGGGTCTGACCTGCTTCTGAGGCTTTGGTTGCCATTGAGAGTGATAGCTCTATAAGGGGACCAAACAGCCTCTCTAACAGAAAGTATTATCAGTGTAGAACTAAATAGTTTAAATAAAAACAGATCTTCAGAACAATAAATCAGTCACGTACCTGACTTTGCCAAAGGGTCATAATTCTCAGAAACTGGGGAACACTTACCTTCTTCAGATTTTTTTTTCCACAGTCTCCCCAGTGGCAGCCTTTCTTTTCACACAGGGTCTGACAACTGAATCCCCACTCCTTTCCTAGGAATGTCTTTAACTGTTTTGTGCTCTTTGAGCTCTGCTTTGGCATAATGGTAGGGTCATTTTGGCCTGGAGCTTGGAAATATGTCAATGTATTTAATTGCTTCTCCTTTTGTGACTGCTGGGACTCTTGTTTTCTCTAAACATCCTCTTCCCTCCTCCCATCACTGAATTACATTTATTAGTTTCTTCATACAGCTCTATCAACTCATGACTGGGTCAAGTTAACCCAATCTTGAGTTAATACATAATCACTAGTGTTCATGAGATTTTTGCACTTTTTTATCTTAGATTGTTATCTGGCACCTCCATGCTGGTTAAGGTCTCACTGAAGTCAGTGGGAAATGGTGCAGGAAAATCTTGAGCAAGAGGAAGCTACACAGGAGTTTGCTTGCCACTGTGAGAAATAGGACTTGAACCAGGCACGAGCTGACAGAAGCAATGTGGTTTTGCCTAAATTTTGTTAGTTTCATCGAAAGAGGAAAAATAGTTCATGGCCATTAGAGAAAACCTAAGAATCTGACAAAAAGTTGCCAGTGGCAATTATTTTCCAACTGAACTAAGACTTGTTACCCTTACTTTAAAGGTAAACTTCTGGTTTTTTTAGATCACACAGTTTGAATGATGTGGATTCTCCTATGAAAACACATCCTTTTCTTCTTCCAGAAGTATTAGATTATTTTAATTTTACATTTCATGAAATATTAATTAAGCTGAATGATGAGCCTTCACAAAATACCCTTGTACACTATTAGAAATCAATAACTACTTCCACTGCTTTATGATTTAGCCCTGTGGAAGGCTAACCATTGCCTCTGCCTCTATTTCACCAGTCTGCCGGCTTTTCATTTTTAGATACCGCTGTAGATTTTTACAGTTCTCCGTGGTTCCAGATTTAACATGGCCACAAACTTTGCTTCCTCACAACGAGATGTTCGTATGCTATGTTTATGTTTCTGAGGACATTTCTTGCTGAAGAAGCATACATATGGGTCTCATGGGCTTCACTGAGGCTCTATCCAGCCACTTGGATCTTCCTGCACAGAGAACAGGATGAGAACTGTCCCAAACCCATACAGTGAGTCAGTGATATGGCTGGAACTGAAAAGGAGTTAAAAAAAGGAGTGGTTGCTAGCTCTCAGCTTTAAGTATATTAGGGAGTAATGCTTCTCATCTTCTGTATTTCCTTTGGTATGAATAAGTAGGCTCAAACTCCAAGGAATTTCATAAAAGCTCCCAAAACCTTGAGGTCCATAACCATACTATTGAGACCAGCACCTCTTACATAATCCTGGGAATTTGGGTAACACAGGCCTAAACTTGTCACTTATCAGTCTGGAGGTTTTGGATCATTTTTAGAAATTCTGTCTAAGGACACAGAAGTTCAGACTTCCTCCTTGACAGAGTGGCATGTCATTAACGTTTTGCTGTTTCAAGCAGAGACAGCCTTTTTCCAAATAGCGGTTTCTCTAATTGAAGCAGAATATGTAGAGATATTACCCTGACAGCAACACTGTAATGGGACCTGCTCTTTAGAAAAAAACTGCATTATCAGAGGTTCCTTACTGTGGGAGGATTTTTGTTTTGAATTAACATGAGACCCACAGGGAGCTGTGTTGTCTTGTGACTGGATATGTTAGAAAGCAGTGGGTAATCCATCCTGGAAGGGGGATATTTAGGTGGGACAAAGATTGGAATTGAAGATTCCCTGGCATTTCCCAAGAATAACATCTGGATCTGTGTGAACTGCTTTGGTAAATATTTTTGTATGTTACCTATGCTGCCTTTTGCATGTTGAGTAGTCAGAATACCTGCATACATTACACTGCTTCGATAAAACAGTCACTTTGATCAGATTTGATACTAACTTACTCCCAAGTAAGACTGCATTTTCTTTTCTAAATTATGTCTACCAGTGACGGGAGCCAGCTATATCTGTATTTGAAAAAAAGGAAATCATATGATAGATGTGCTATTTTATATCTGACTTCGTAAGAGTGGTTTTTGACAGGTTGGAATGTGTCTGAATATTTGGAAAAGTTTATGGGAAGATCAATGTCACAGATATTTTTCCTCCTTTGGAGGAAAGTAGAAAGTAAGCATGAAGAAGAGGAAAAATTATTGTAGGAAAAAGAAAATGTCTTTGAATTTTCTCTTCTTCATTCTGCATCGTTCTCATAAGCTTCTGTTTGAAGCTATCACCACATTTTGGCTCCACTTCTACTGAATCTATTTAAATTCATTTTAAAGGTGAATTACTTGGCTGCTTGGCATCTTTGTTCTAGATTATGCTGCAGCAGTTCATCTGATTTGCAGTCAGATAGAAAGCATTACAGCTTGAAAATGATGGGTTTCAAAGCTTTTTTCCCTCCAACCTGTGTACATGAAAGTCTCCCTACACCGACAGCATATAAGGTCATCAAATGAAGAGGCCAGTTTGTAGAAATGCTGGAAAAGAATTGAAATTTAAATTAATTTTTGAAAGTATAAATTTGAAACTTATGAAAAGAACAAGGTGTGTCTGGTGAAGTTGAGTAAAGGAGAGATGAATGTGAAGGCGGCTTTTTAAATGTGCTTAGCAGACTCAGTTGGAGCTTTGTTTTTAAAACCTTGGCCCTTACCACACATACAAAAATATTCAAAAATAACAGTAAGACAAAGTCTGATTCTCACATTGCCCTGTGCAGCCTTAGTGAAATAACAGATATGCAACTGGTCTAGAGATGAACTGCAAGGAACCAGTCAAGGATATATGATTTCTTAATATTATTTAACTGTTGATTCTTTTTTCAATCTTGGATAATGGTGCAAAGGCAGACTAAGTACCATCTCAAGTCCATATTTTTGACAAGATCAAGCCAATATAGGATTTAATTTTTTTGTTTTCTACTTTCTTATTTTTCAATACAATGCTCATCTCTCATAAAAAAAAAAAATTACAGCTCTCACATTAATTAATGTTCTCTTATAGAAAGTGTTTATGTAAGTCTTTGAAGCTCAGAGAATTCATAACATAAGTCTGTAGTATCAGTGTTTCATGAACCATATGTGTCTACAAGGTTGATCTACAAAATGAGTAAGAATGTTAAAGAAACATATTACAGTGTGACATTGAACCCATCTGCCAGGTTCCCGGTCTGAGTGTAGTCTTCCACCTTTCACAGGTTGTTTCCTATCTGCATGCCCAGAAAGGACATTTTGCTCACCAAAAATTTGGTGGCATTTCACAGGGTTCTAATTTTGTACTGTTTGCCAAGTTAGGAACGACTAAGAAGTGGACCCTTATTTTAGAACCTGCTCCTCTCTTTACCTCCAAGCAGCCCAAGTTTGTTCATTCCCAGCGGTCATGAAAGCCTTGAGGTGCCAAAGCTTTGGAATTAGAGATGTGTGCAGTAACAAGCATCACCTTGGTTTAAAAATCATGTTCCATGGCAATTTTCCATTTTTTAATTTACAGAGTGAAGACTGGAAATTTAGATTAAGCTGCTTTTCCATTTTAAATACAAACAAAAATGGATAGAAGAAAACATAGCTTAGTGAGAAACTTTGTTTGATGGTTGAAGAATTATTTTAAACAGTGATAAAAATAAAGGTGTTCTCTTAACAATGTTTGCATGAATGCTCTGAAATGTAAACTTCATGTCATCCAATGAATTTTAAACCCTCTTATATTTGAATCTTCACCTGCAGTAAGTACTGATTGCTTTTGTAACTAGAATTGATTATGCAATTGATTATACCTGTCCTTCTAAGGGCAGCTATGGCCATAACAGCCCCAGAGTGTTAAGTGTTATTTCGTGGAACATGCTAATGATTACATGGAGAATAAAGTTATCCATTTGTGTCCCTTGGTCTAAACTTGTGAGTTACATAGTGCATTGTCTTTGTATACATTGTTAGTCTGCAGGAGTACTGATAGATTTTTGTCTCTCTTTAGAGTCAAAGAAGCAGAGGAAGTCTGCAGGCAGAAAAAGGGGAAGTCACTATACAATATAAGACCAAAACACGACTCTGGAATTGTAAGTAAAAATTGTAGCAATACTCCTATTACTTGTTCTGCCTTTTTCTCTTTGCATTTTATAGATAGGTTATTCTTGATGTATGTTTTTGTTGTGGGTTGGGTTTTTTAGGGTTTTTTTTTTTAATGTTTAACATTTTCCTTAAAGGTGCTAGATTAACAAACTTGAAATTTGCCAGTGAATATTACTCTACAAAATAGAAGTAAGCACGGGCAAGAACAGCTTATTATTGCCCCACAGTGCCAATCTGTCTTCTTCCCAGTCTTGGTGTGGGATTAACATAGAAGGAAGAAAGGCAGTTCTGGTCTTCTGGCTTTTTTAATCTATATTCACTCTCTTTTTTACAGACACAGAATGCAAGGAAAAATTTTGATAGTTACATATTTACCAAATACAGTGGTTTCTGATCCACTGATATAGATTTGTTTGGAACAGAAACACTCGAAAAAGATAATACTGGGCTTTCACCATTCTTTTGAAAACAAATAACTTCAATGATAATAAAGGAGTAATTTTGGTTATTTAACAAAACTTTTCCCCTATGATTGCCTAATTATTGTGAGGATCATGAATGATTTTATAGAAGAATTAGTGAAAAATTGTTCTGGTAGTTCACATTCATATGGCTGTAGCAACTGCCTATCATTTATATTTGTACAGTATTATAACAGAAGTTCTTTTCATGTGTCTGTGTCCCTGTCTGCATCCTCCAGCCCCGCCACCCCGAGACCTGACTTAATTCTTTAATGCTTTGCAGCCATATTATCTGTGACACATCTTGTAAATGAAGGATGTGGTAATTTACTGTATTCTAACCAACATTATCTGACATAGGAAGCAATAATATTGCATTTATTGTTTCTTGTTTTGAATGTTTAGAGAGAGTGGACTGTAGTTAGTGCCACAAGAAATGTAAATGGAGTACAAGCTTAGTAATAAATGATAAACTATATTTTATCAGTTTTATTTAAAAACAAATCAACATGTTATTTAAAAAAAAAAACAACAAATTAACATTGTTTTAGATTTCTCCCTCTAACTTATATCTTGCTGTATATAAAGACAATGAGATTTTTTTTTTAAAGATACAATTATTTTTTTAATTATTCCTGTATCATTATCATTACTATTTGAAGTGAAACAGGGATCTTCAGTCYTAGTGACAATTTGATAAGGGAGGAGGAAAGTAAACGAAAATATTTCACAAGCAGTGTATCGCTGTAGTCTACTTCAGCTCTAGCTTCAAAGTTTATTTGCGAAGTCAGTTCTACAGTAAGTTTAATTGAATATTCGCCTATGTATTTCTATGCTTTTCATATTTGTGCAAGGTGGTTTTATGTACACTGAAATTTTGTCCTTTTAAATTTGTTTTATTTTTCAGAAAGCAAAGATAAGTATGAAAATCTGAGAGAAGAAATTCAAAAGCCATTGTTACCTGGTTACCGAAATTCAACATGCCTGTGGGTGGAGAGTGAGAGGGAAGGAAACTACATCATCCTGATCATTTGCTTCCTTGATCTTTTAAAATTTGTGTTGTGTTCTCTAGAGTTTTCCACCAGCTGATGTGTTATTATACATTCATTCACAAATGTAATCACTTTAATGGAGTGCCCAGAAATAGATTAGGTATGAACTTGAAACACCTTCCCTGTACTCTGTATCTCCTTTGCCACTCAAAAATGGTATTGGACAAGTCAGCATGCATAAAAAAAGGCATCTGCATCAGTTCTGAACATGCTGAAAATTGCATTAAGTTGAACTTCATAAGACTGCTCCTTGGTACAGTGAAACATTTCCATTCCTACTGGCAGCATCTAACACAAATACTTCATGGCACTGCACTTAGATTAGGGAAAGAAATGTTACTCCTAGTGAATTGTTTATATCCGTTTCATGTTGGCATTTGTAGTTTGTATTTTGAATCGTTAAGTGCTGTTTATACAGTATAAACAACGCTTTCCCAACTTGTTTGGTTGCCCTCCATGACTAAATATTTGTGGAACAAGATGTTTACTGTAACTATCTTTAAAATCGATAAGGCAACATACTTTTACTTCATCTTTTGCCAGATAGTGAATGCCAGGTGGCATGGGGGTCAGAAATCCAGCATTTAAAAAAAAAAAAAAAACTTTTTAAAAAAATAAAAAAGGAAAAAAACAAAAAGCAGGAAAATACAGAAGTATGATAGAGAGTATGAGATATTTGGTTATTATAGTTTGTTAATATATGAAGCAGCTAATACTTTTACATGAACTTTAGAAGGTATAGTATAGTTTTAACTGCTGATCACCTAAGTCAGACAGGCTTTTGGCCACATGTACATGACTTCCCTTCTGGAATTAGCTTTACAGTTAATTTAAAATTCCTTTAGAGAGCCATTAAAAGATGCACATGGAGACGACATTTATGGAAAAGAGTAGCCAATTCTAGTGACAGAACATAGACTACCAACCAATTGACATCAATTTCACACTAAACAGAATTGCAGGCATTTCCTCTACGCTTTCAGTGTCCCTGACCAGGAGGTTAATGATTGAAATATATGACTTAGGGCTTCCATTGTAGATCACGTGCTTAATTCCTATTTGCAATCCAGAATTCGTAGTATCAGTTTTGGTCTGCTCATCTGGTAACAACCCCTTCTCCCAGCCCTTATTTAAGAGCCCCAGACCAATCAGCTTGATTGATAACATTTTTCTTTCAAAGATGATTTTTCCTGAAAGCAGACCGTGTTTGCAACTCAGTTGGATGCACACTCCCAAAGCTTTGGAGCCTGAAAGACACTGGGGTAAGGCAAATGAGCTCTAACCTGCTGGGTTGCATTATTCCCTGTCTAATCTAGCACATCAAGAGACATTCCAAGCTGTTCAGAGGCTAATATACTCTACAGGGTGTCAGAAAAGGAAGTGCAAAATATGACCTCAGGAATCTGTTATTCTTCAGATATACTAAGCACTAGAAAATATGGGTTTTTTCACTGTGTGAAAAGCAAGTCTCCTGTTGCTGATAAACCTATGTAGTAATAATTTCTGGCAGGGATATAAATTACGAAGAATGGAATTCTAAAATTTTGTGTTGATGGGAGTAACATTAACTATTTGGGGAAGGGAAAATAAGAGATTATTTGCTGTTACAACTAACTTATGGAAAAAAAAAATCTTTAAAGAATAAAGCTATTTTAATGGCACTGATTCAAATCCATGTTTGTATTTATGTAAACAATAGTCTTTTCCTTCTAACTTTTCTCCTAAGTGCAAGGATACAGTAGCATGTTTTCATTTGTAGCCTTCCTGTTCTCTTCAGTATCTATAGTATGTATATTACTATACTAAATGAAATAATAGATCATCTAACAAAGATCACTATGTGCAATACTGTATTTAGTGTTTCTATTCCAATTTTTTTAGAATGTTAATTTATATGAAAATAAAAGGAATAATAAATAACTGCTTTCTCTCATCGCTCTCTGGCTATGCTGTAGAGTGCTACAAACTGTTTGCTCCCCAAGCACTACATCCCATTCTGGCTCCTGTGATCAAAGAAGAGCCTTTGTGAAGGGATCAGAGGAAACAACCCTTCTCTTTTCTTTGAAAGCCTTTTGAAAGGATAGTGACAGTAATTCCCACTTATGTGGATATACTACCTTTTCCCCTGGTGGTGGTAACAAGAGCTTCAGAATCCCTTACCCAATGAAATTATGTAAAACTCATTTCTCTGGCTTGTGCATGCCTTCCAGTCTTGCATTTGGCTCAGGTTTGTAACCTGGTACCACTGAAGTGACAGACTCAACCAATTGCAATTAGAGCAAAAATATGCATTGAAAAGTCATATCTGCATGTTATAATCTTTTTATATATGTGCATGTGTTCTGTCCAGAAACCTGCTAAATCTGTCACATAGACACATAACCCTTCCAACTGGATCTGCACCATGGATGCTAGAAGTTATTTCAAGTCTTTCTGTCTCTCCAAAGAAGTGTCAAAGGTTGACTGCAGCTGATGGTACCATATTATGATCTTAAGACACATGCTTCTACATAGAGTTTGCTTTCATTTTACTCAGACCCAGCCTATTTGGTTGGACATCTCTCTTTCATGTGGCTTCTCTCCAGCCTGTTTTCAAACTTCCATGCAAAGTAGCTCACTGTTTGCAGCACCACAGCTGACCCACAGATCATCCAGAGCGGACTTGCAGTATAAATTTCATTTCTACTCTTTTTTTGGCAGCAAACTCAACTTTTTACAGAATTCTGGACTAATGTGATTTTGTTTGTTTTAAAGAGGTTTAACACCCCATGGGTCCCCTCTCTCCTCATTTACTGCAGCCCTCCATGCACCTTTACTGCAGTATCAAGCACTCTACACTTTAAATTTGCCCTAATTCTACAAGAGTTCTCACAGAGAAAATTTGGAGCCTTTGTTGATACCAACACCACATATCTCTCAGTTTTAAATGCTTAAATGCACCTAAATGCTGCAGCAAAAGAAGGCCTTTCATACGTGAGCAGCGTATGTGACTTGCTGACAATAACCATCTGTTTTTTTATGAGGACCTGAGAGGATTCATGTTCTATTTCTTACCAATTAAAGCCTTTCAGAAGCATGGTACTCTGTCACGTCATGGCACTGTAGTGGTTTGCTTTTTTGGTAGCACCTTTCATCTCTCCAAAACACTTCCAAAACTTAGTCAACTAAAAACCAGCTGTGGCAGTGGGAATAATAATTAGGGGCATCTTCCACAGACTTACTTATTTTCTTGCCCAATTTCTCAGTGATCTGCTTCAAAGATTGGAAGCAAATATTACTGTCGTTGAGAGAACACACAGCAAGTCACTGCACTGCAATTATTTTGTTGCAGACTCTAGATTAAAAGCCTAATTTGTGACAAATCCACTATACCAGTTACTTCAGTTACACAGATTTTAAACTACTATGGACAGAATAAGTGAAAACTGATGAAGTTGAGTTTTTCTGAAGATAGCGTAAAGACATCAGTAAAGGGAGGAGAGAGAAAACCATGCCCCACACCATTCATGTTTGCCACCCATCAAGAGGAATCTCATCAAAGAACAGATTTTCTGAACTATTCTTTTGCTTATGACAGACCCATCTGTAGTGTTCCTGTATCTTTCATCCAACCTACTTGCAAAAGCCTCCAATGGCAAGTCCATTGCCTCAAAAAAAAAAAAAAAAAAAAAAATCCTTTTCCCAAAAAAAAAAAAAAAAAAAAAAAAAGGTGTCTTTCTGAAAATAAAGGGTCCCTATTACATCAGCACAGTTATCTCATTTATTCCCAGCTGCTGCTCAAATTTAAGCTCTTTGAAACTTCACTTGCCACCCACTCCAAACCGGGGCGTTGCCAGCATGGCAATCCCATTGTGGTTGAGTTTAACACTCACTGTCCTCCTCCCCTACCTTGTCCTGTAGCACCACTCCACTTTTAAGAGTTAACTGCATCTGTCTGACCTACAGCTTCTTCCTCTACTCGGGAGAGATTTGCCTTGTTCTTGGATTTCTTCCACAAGGGGGAGAATGTTGGATTACAGCAACACCTCTGCTACAAGGGTTCAGCAATCGGGGAGTAATTGAGAACTGGAGCTGGAATCTGGGCTGTGCTTCAAGCAGCGGAGGGTCAGGTGGGTGCTGGGCAATGCAGGAGACTGACCAAGAGATGGGTGGAAATTAGAGAGGGGCATTCCAAGAGGTGACTGCTGAGCTCCCTTTGAGCCAAGTGACAGAGGCGCTTAGAAATTCTGAGCAGGGGGCCTGATCACATCTTGTTCTCTATAGCAACAGCTACTAAAAAAAAAAAAAAAAAAAAAATTAAGAAGTAATTCTCCAAACACTGAACTGTGAAAAGATTTATGCAAGAGACAGGGAAGACAGCATCCATAAAGGACACAGCCCTCCCTTGTTAACTGTGGTCTAGGTTTTCCCACTTCTTTCAAGAACCATCACAGGCATCTCTTCTGGTCATGTGGAGGTTCATCCATCAGTGTGGCAATTCCCTTTCCACACTGAAATTTTCCTTTGAGAAACTGCATTATCTCTGGGTTGGAAAGGGAAAAAAACCCCACAAACCCCACAATACTACCCTGTCTTTGGAGTGCCATATGGTGTACCTATTCAAGAGCTGATAGAAACCATTAAAGCTCACCAGTATCTTAGGATAGAGCGGTTTTTTTTTTTTTTTCTCTTATGAGTAGTTTGGTGCCTGTGACATAGGGATCTATATATATTTAAAGCAAAATAATTTAGGACAGTTACTGCTCTTACAGCAAATTATGGCAGTGGTTCAGCCAGTGGTAGAGCATTGATTGCTAGCTGACCAAAAAAAACAGATTTGGTACATGCAAAATCAACTCCAGAATCTAAGATCAGTGCACTTTATTTTTCCCTCTTGCCTTCCAGGTAGTTTTGAGGAGTGGTAGGTGAGACGGGAAGAAGTACCTATGTTTTCCCAACCTGTCAGGGTGAGCCAGCATTCACCTGTATTTGGGAGGGTGAAAAGGAAGCTGGAAAATATACTGATTAGAGAGTAGTTGGACACAAGTAGTTGAAGAAAAACACCTGGATGCCATATAACCCTAGAGTAGCTTTATTATTTAATCTATAATTTAATAGTTGACCTATAAAATAATTACATTATACTTAAAGCATTTCTTCATTTTTTTGTTTTCATTTATAAAACAAGAATTAAATACAGTTTTAACCATTAAAAGCTCAACTCAGTTTTCACATAAACACAGCTCCTAGAAGGAGCTTTAAGCTGCAGCATATTCATATTGCAAAGTGGTGAAAAACCCAGGCAGGGCATAGCTTAAAGGTAAAGATTCTTGCACGTTTTTCTTAAGTGAACTCACTAAGGGGCTTTTCTGTCTCTGGTCCAAAATGTCTGACTTTCATTCCTTCCAAACAGAAACTGAGATCTCCTGAGTCTTAGCAGACCGTATTGCCATCTTTCCCCTCTGCACCCACCCACACTTTCAAGGCTCTAGGGAATTGTGCCCATCCTGGGGCTGGCATGATGCCACAAGGCAGCAGCAACAGCCCCTAGAGCATTCCCTGCACGGAGAGTCTCCCCGCCCTTTTCTGGCACGCTGAAAGGTCAGAGCATAAAAGCCACATCTGCTCACGTAACGGGGCCACCAGACCTGAGCCATCTCACCCTGCCCATGCCAGTCCCCGTAAACCGCTTGGTGAGCTCTTGTGGAGATCAGTCCCGAAAGCCTCTTAGGGAGGCCTGTGTCACATAACGGAGACCTGTGGCTCCGAAGGCCCGGCTGGCGGCAGTGCTGAACACATTAACCCTTCGAAGTGGCTGCGTGCGATGAGGCTGGCGGGGAGGGGCTGCAGCAGCAGGCTGCTTTCACTCGCTGCGGATGCTGAGCTGTGAGACATGCTGAGGGAGCCGCGTGTCGGGTTTAATTTGTAAGCTTCAGACAACTGAGTGCGCTCTGGCTTTGGTTTCAGGGAAGGGGCTGCTTGGAGACAGGGTTTGAATGCAGCTGGGACTAATACAGATCCTAACTGTAACAAATGGAGTATACAGGACATGTTAAAATCCATCAACGGAAAAACAACAGTGTGATTTCAAATGAACTGCAAGTGCTCACCAACGCTTACTGAGCAGGTCTCAAAAACTGAGTGGACCACCAATAGTGTAACAATTACAAATTAGTCTCTCCTGGCTCCCACAGCTGTGACCCATGCCAGCAGAACTGACTGAGGTGTTTGTTCTTTAACACTAACACATTAACATGGTTTCCAATCAAGGGAGAGATACCACTCCCAAAACCTGATGACCCTTACATAGCTTTTGTATTCAGTCCAGCAATACCAAACTTTGTCTTTTGTGTGACAGTGCTTTTATACCTTTGGGGACACATCGTTCCCTTAAGTGTTCTCCCCTACTACCCTCCCACCTTCCCTGGTCTGAGCAGGCATAAATACAAGGTCATAAATGGATCTCGTCCTTTTTGGAGTAAGAAACACACACACATATCTAACATACAAAGACCTACCAAAAGCATAGTAAAACCATGTCCATTTTAAGCCAGGCAGCTGACCTAGCAACCAAGTCTCTTACACATTTTAATCGCTGGCATCCTCTGCCACAAGAAAAATATACATGGCTAGGTCTATAACACTTTAAACAGCTGTTTACTATAGCTAGGTTACAAAATAAACACTGCTGCAGAGGCCATGTGTTCAATATACTCTAACCACAACAGCATCAGAACCCACCCTCAGTCTGCTCTGTGGTCACCGTGGCTGACCCAGCGCCTCACCCTCTTCCCCTCGCTTCTGATCTGCCGTTCAGACAACAAGTCCAGAACCATCTGTCATTGCACAATTGAAATCGTCTTCAGGAGAGGAGCCTCGTCAGAGAGTCTCGCTTTTCACACATTACTTCCTCGTTACTGTCCCTCCTCTGTGTCCCTCAGTCCTGGGTAGCACCCCAGCACTTCCAAGTAAGAGAAGCAAGCTCTGGACCAAAGCACAGGGAAGGCGTTCTCAGCTTTTGGAGGGAACTGGAGTGTAGGGCAGAGGGCTATACTCCACACAGTGGAAACATTTAATGCTGGATTCAGCCAACTGGTCACTTAGATGATCAATCCCAACTTCTAGGAGCCTGCTCCACTCCAGAAGATTCAACTGCCAGATGATATTTAAAATACAATGAAACTTTATGGTGAAGTGCCTAACACAGCCCGTTAAAAAGCGTTATTCCAGTAGGCAAGTGACAAGGAGCCTTTCCTTGCTGGAGAGATGCCTCCTGAAAGAAAAAAAAAAAAAAAAAAAAAAAAAAAAAAAAAAAAAAAAAAAAAAAGGAAAAGAAGAAACAAACCAACAAAATGGACAGTCTGATCAGTGGGAGAGGCGAGGCAGCAGTAAAGCTGATGTGAGGCAGCTACATGCCTGCTCTCACAGTTTGCCCGAGCTGTTCAGATTCACAGACATGCACCGGCACTGTTTGACCTTCTGAATTTTCTTGAGTCGGAACGGCGGGTCAAGCTCGGGGCACTCCAGCTGCACGGTGGAAGAGGTGACCTTGTGGGGCTTGCAGAAGGCACAGGACTGGAAGGATTCCTCCTCCTTCTTCACGTGGCGCGGGATGTAGAAGGAGTTGCACTGCCCGTAGCAGAAGCGGTTGATGATGGTGCGGCTGATGCAGCCCTCCTCGCTGACAGTCTGCCGCAGTGGCTGCGTCTTGCACCAGTCACTCTTGAGGTACTTCCTCTCGGTGACCACCAGGGCCTCCTGGCTGGAGGCCAGCACCTCCTTGTTCAGCTGCTGCCTCCGCTCCGAGTGGTTGCTGCTGCTGCCTTTGTACGGGGAGGGAATGGCACCTGCGGGCCGGTTTTTCCTGGCGTCCGTCACTCGAACCAATGCTGCCATCAGAAAAACGGACAAGGCAAATTTCCAAATCATCCTGCAAGGGCAACACAAGGCACTGTTAGGAAAACCGCATTTTCAAACCACAGAATTGGAATGGAGTTGGTACTTCACGCATGCTTGTAGAAGAAGTGGAGATCTTATCGTCTTTATAATCCCATCACTTTTCCTAGATTAGCTCTATTCTAGGGTGATTACTTATCATGAAGAGGCCAGGCCCTTTGGAAAGTTACATTGCTCCCCCTCACCCCTCCCCAAACTCTCCACCTACTTGCATTTTCCCCACAGGGACACTAATGCCTCGATGGCTGAAATGGTGGTTTTACGGAAACTTCAGCAGAAACGTTTCCTCCTTCTCTGTGAACTCCTGGGCCAAACAGCTGGGCAAACTCCTGGCTAGCAAAGGCTCAAGAGGCTCCTGCCAAGATGGGGAGAGCTGATTTGAGGATGGCAGGGTAGAGGGGAAGGGAATACCAAGTTACACAAAGTGAACTCCCATCTGCCTCTTCAGCCCCCAAGCCCCAGCCCAGCCTCATTCCACACAGAAGTAGCATTCATAGAAGAGGTGTCCAAAAGGCTATTTTTATAATTTTAATCTGCTTCTGAAGTTTCTTGAGGCCTTTACGACACTCACAGGTTTACATTTGTTGTCTTTGTGTGAGGCCAAAACCTTGATGGATTTATTTTTGCAGTAAGAGGAAATGCTTAAACACAACTTTGAAGACTTCATAACTGCAAGGCTCTTGGGCAAATGGTTTAAGAAGGTTTGTAAACAGAAGAGGATCCAACATTTATTTTAGATGTTCAAGAATAGGTTAGAGCATAAGCTAGCTGCTAAATTAAAATAGTCAGCCAGAAGGCAAAACTATTTTTTCCTATGGTTTGTTACTTGTTCTTGTTCTGCAGAGCATCTCTTACCAGCTATTATCCAAATCATTTTAGTAGTGTGTCTCGATATGCTCCCAGAACATCAGAGTAAGTGTACTAAATTTCCTTATAAAGTCAATGCTCACCAGCAAACTGCTCAGTTCATTTCCTATCACTCTCTGGGAAAGGAGAACAGAGGGTATCTGCGGTGCCAGAAGTAAGTGCAGCACAGAAGCTTCCCATTTGGAGACAAGAACAATTCCAAGTCTTTCTAAAGCACTCTGTTCACCTTTGTTCTTAATGAACATTTTTATAATAGTGTACAGAAAAAAGACTCTCTTCCCAGTAAAGCTTCAAGCCCTTCCAAGTAATGATTTTCTTTTTTTTTTCCTTCAGAGAGACACCAAGACAAAAAACTACCATCAGACTGGCAATTATAATGTCAAACACTACAGACACTTCAGATGTTGCATAGGTACACCCATCTAAAAAACATGGCATTTTCCAAATAATAACATCAAAAGATAGATAAAGTGTTTTCAGTAAAGGTGCAAAAGAAGACAGGAATAGCAGTATCAAATGCTTCTCACCTAATAAAGCAGACCTAACATGTTAAACTTCTGTGGAGATAAAAAGCAGGAACTACTGTATCAGACTAGGTGAGATAACATTCATTTAGGTTATTTTCTAAGCCTATAAGATCTCAATGTCAAACTTTGACTAAATTTTTAGGGGAAGAAGTCTGAAGTGCTAAGGAAAACAAAAGTGCTATACAGTCTTATAGCTGCAAACAGAGGATGTTCTGATGCAGAGTTAAATTTCACCCAACTTAATGCCTGAAACAGAACCACCTTTAAATGGAAACCAGTATTTCTGAACCACAAAAAAGTTCATTCATCTGCAGCCATGCTATCTCCTCACTGAACACCCACTGTAGCCTTGGGTACTTTAAATCAGTGGCCTATTTTCACACTGCTTAGAATTCAGCATGCAAGTCCAGAAGTTTTGTCCAGAGTCTTTAAACGAAGCAAGACTAGATTTGGCTTTGCTGGCAGGTATTGTGGCCAAGTCCATTGGATGTCAACCCACACAGCCAGGCCAAAACCTAATCAGGTAATTAGTTTCAGTTGAATATAGTGTTCCATGCTTCCTTTCAAACTGTTCTCATGTTATTCTGCACTAATGGCTGGATTTCAGTAGTAGATAAAACAACTGATTCCCAGTGCTTTGTGTTTTATACAGAAAAGGGAGGAAAAAAGGCCAGAGTTACAAACCTACATTCTTCTAGAAAAAGACAGAGGTGAATTCTCCATAAGATGCCTCATGCCACATTCTTCAGGCATAATCTTCTACTCTTTTGAAACACAAGGGATATTGCCTCTCCAGTTTAATTTCTCTGATCCTGGCACGGAAGAGGATAGCACAGCTAGGAGTAGAGACAAACCCTATCCCCACCCCCTCCTCTTTTCTTGKGAAGACTTTTTCCAACTGTCATGTTTGTTCCAACTGTCATGATTCTACAAATCTATGAAACCTTGCGTTACCACACCTGCCCTTTCTCATCATAAAATGCAACTTGAAAGGACACATTTCCTTTTTATGTCAAGACTGGTGGTCAAGCAGAAATCCTGTGTAGGAATTCAGCTGACAAGAGAGCCAACAACTCAAAGTCTACAATATAGAGAAATACTATAGCAGTTTTCTAATTGCCATTACTGAAATGGTTTTATGTAGGCATGGAGAGCCATTCAGTAGAGTAAGTAGGATTTATTCAGTAAGTCTGTGTTTGTAACTAATAAAGCATTATTAATCAAAGCCACTATTGTACGGTTATAAACCAAACACTGCAACACATGCTAGCAAGTACTACAGACAGGTAGGAATGCACCAGTTATTTGTCATTGATTGTTATCAAACCTGAACCTTAAAATATCTACATAATGGACTAGTAATCTATTTTACACTAGCGGGTCAAATGTGCATTCTGTCAGATCGTGGAATTTCTAATCACAGGGTTACCCCTTACTAGCCTGCAAATCACCCCTTTCTAAGCCCTGGCACATAAATCCCCTATTCAAGCAAGTAAGGGTGCAAACAAGGTCACCTGGTGCCAGCAACTTGCCAAGGACTACATTTATTTTCACTGCTCACATGCAAAGAGAAGAGAAACTTCAGGACTCCCAAAGAAAGAGTACTTTGCAAACTCAATTTGAATGCAAAGCAACATGGTGAATGCTGCCTGTCTGCAGACAGAGAGGGATGAGAAGAAACACAAAATGTATTGGAGAAGAATCTGGCTTTTGGCAAGGACAGGCTCTGCCCTACTTAGATGGAACAGAATGAAGCAGCATGTGGCTGAGATCATGAAAGCAAAAAATGCCTCAGGAGACCAACGCCTCTACAACTTGCACCAGTGCCAGCCTGGGCCCCCGTCCCTGCTGCACTGGGGGTCCCTAGAACAGAGTCCATGGCAGCTCCTGTGGGACAGTTTTCAAATTCTTCAAGCATTGCTGCCAGCTGCTGCCAGTTCCCCCCAAGCCATTTTTGCCGTCTGTGAACTGAGAATAACTTAATCTTAGATGAGACACCCAACAAGACCTSGCTGCATTTGCATATCACATGACAAGTATTTTCCTAATTGAGATAAATAAATCAATCAATATCAAGTCTGAGTTCACAAACTCATCAAACCAACATGCTGGAGCTGGCCCATCAGGCCCAGGAGGGAAAAAAATCCTTGGCCATGGAAGCAAGAAGGCCAAAATCCAGCCCCGTCATTCAGAGGTCAGGGCACTGTGCTAGAAGGGGAACACCCAGGATCACTGTGTCTGCCCTCAGCTTTTTTCTTCTTTGTATCCAATTACTGTATAACATAAAGTATCTACCAAGGCAGGCTCCCTCCTGCACACTGACCTTCTGGCCCTATAACTCACGCATTCTTGGAAGTTATCCAGCTCCAGAGCAGGACAGGCAGTAATGCAACCCCCAAAATAGCTTACAGTTTTGTGCTCAGGGAGCTCTGAACTGGAGCTCTGAACTGGAGCATTGATTTCAGAATTCATGGTCATCGTTTTTTTGAGAAATCCCAAAAACGGTAACCCTGAAGGGAAGAAGTGGGTGCTGTGGTCTGAAAGGCAGGGCAGGAGGCAACACCAGTGACCAGCTGTGCTGAGTGATTGCTCTGACATTTCCTCTGGTTTCTGAAGTCATGACCAGTTTCTCAGCTCGGGATGCAGATTCTGACTGGGAATTCCTGTCTTGCAGATCAGCCTACTCCAGGGCTGCAAGAGGACAGAAAGAAAGAAGGATGTAACTGGAAGATCACATCTGATATCTGATCATATCTGATGTGATATGTTAGCTGCTCAGGAACTCAGGAGGTGTGAGACCCATTTGTTTGCTTTAGCATGCACACCTACAAAGCACTCAGCATTATCAGCATTCCTGGAAGCATCCAACTCTCTGATACAGGTATGACACAATCCTCTCTTCAACTGGCCTTTCTGAAGGGAATTCAGAAATGGAAGTCTCAGGCAATTTAAAACAAAACAAAACATAAAAAACCAAATAAAATAAACCCCTAAAAGAAACCAAAAAACAAAGCTTTTCTTGGACAAATATTTCTCCTTAACTACCAGCAAAAGGCACGCATTACAGACTAAATCAAATCAGGTCCCATTCAGTAGCACCGTACATAGATGGCCACATTTCACCACCTGTGTCGCTTGTTTCCAGTTTCCATCCTGCAAACTTCAAAGACACGAGCACTCTCCTTAGAGATCATTTGAACATGGCTGAGTGTGGGAATCCTTGTTATCATAATTTTTTGCAGTCCCCATTTACTTTCATATTAGACCAAGTCAGAAACAGAATCTGTATAAACCAGCCATATGTACAATAATGTAAGATCACAATGTACATGGTTAGTTCTCACATTTAAGATGGGACATGAGATGCATTCCTTGAAGGCAAGCCAAGCAATAGCTTTTCAAAGAACTAAAACTTGGCTTTAGCAAGAGATGTGGAAAGCCAGGAAATATCAACTTCTCTGCCAGGAAGCCAAAAATGCTATTTATTTAATTTATTAATAGTTAGGCACGATTCTAATGATACAATGTTCTCATAAAGACTACAATAAAGACTAATCAGGCATCTTTGTGCAAGGAGGTA